AGTGGTTCGAAAAGCTACCATATGCGAAAGAAAAATTAACCAAACTTCATTTCTACTTTCATGATACGGTAAGTGGCAAGAATATAACTTCTTATACGGTGGCTCAATCCAACATTACATTCAAGTCCCCAACTTCATTTGGTCTAGTAAGTGTAGCAGATGATCCTTTAACGGTGGGGCCAGAACCCGACTCGAAGATCATGGGTAGAGCCCAAGGGATATACGGTTTTGATTCACTAGAAGAGTTGAGTCTACTCATGATCCTAAATTTGGCTTTCACGGATGGAAAGTATAATGGTAGCACGCTTAGTGTACTTGGACATGATCCGATTTTGCACAAGTATCGAGAAATGCCTATCGTTGGTGGCTCCGGTGCTTTCCGGCTGGCGCGCGGTATCGCCACTGCACAAACCGTTTGGTATAATCTTACCACCAATAATGCAGTTGTTGAGTATACCGTAATGGTTTTACATTATTGATTTCCCAGTGGGGTTTTGTTTATTTGGTATTTGGTATTTGGTAAGGTTGTGACCTGCTCCTTTGTCAACTGTTTTTCTAATTTTCTAGCTTCTAAACATTAAAGGAGTTATTATTAAGAATAAATGGGAATTTGATAATTGATAGTTGTCATATATTATAGGGTATGTTTGATCCTAATTATTTTAAAAAAATCGATTTTTTGGCAAAACAAAAGTTGACTCTTAAATGAATAAAATAAACTTGAGTAAAAATGAATTTCTGTACATATACCCCCACCAAATATCACTCATAACTCGATCAAAATACTGTTTTGACTCCAATTTATGATGCAAGGGGAACAAATTAATTCAAATCTAAATTACATTCTGAAAATTGGCCACAAAAATGGATCATCTACTATTACTGCAAGCAGTTCCACGGCCAAACATGTTTATTTCTCCTGAGTTATCCGCCTATGATCTCGCAGTCGATAAAGATTGGTTAGGGATATTGGCGAATCAATTGGGTCGACTACTGAGAAGGTAACAAATGTTCGGGTCTTTTGGTTGATCAACGACCGTGAATATGGTGGTGGGGGAGAATGAGGTTGGCCAGTGGAGGCGGCAGAGGAGCGGTGACATTAAGTTGGTGGGGTGGTGGTGATGGTGGCAATGGGGGTGGGCATTGGTAACACTTGGTGAAAAGTCCAAATGTGTCGTCGATTTGGTGTATGAAATTTGTCACGCTAGCCCAACCACCAAATCCAAATCCAAATCCAACAATTAGCACCCAAACTGCCACAAATATGTTGATAATGTAAGTGCCCAACCATCTTCCAAAGTACTTTGATGGCTGCTCCACTGCATTCTGTGTTAAGAAATAATCAACCAGATTATTTGAAATTAGTAAAAAAATCTTAATTTGAAGGAAAAATAAATAAATTAGATAAACATTTCACGCACCTCTCGAGCTGCAGGTGATCTAAAGGTGAACATGTGAGCGAGAGCAGGGATAATATAGACAGTGAAGCTAACAAGAAGCGATCCGACTGTCGAGTTTATGGGACCAAAGAATGGAAAAACAATTGCCAAAAACCATATGGGTATCACCACCGGCATCCTTGCTGCCGCCCGCTTGCATAAACTCTTGCACTCGTGCATTCCGGTTGCCTTCTCCCATATGAAATACAACGGTGTGCATGCAAATCCGAACGTTATAAACTGCTTCGATTGTAACAAGAGCAACATTAATTGTCAATTACAAATGTTGTATAGTACTAGATCAATGACTAAAGTGCAATAATTTAATAACGTAGCTTAGAATCATGTCGCTATTGCATTGGTATCGATTTTCTTTTCAAGGTTTGTTCTCAAGAGATTTGGAGTCACCCACACCTATATATGGTATTGGATCATTTTTTTCAAGGCTTGTTTTCAATAAATTTGAATGAGCTACATGAATGTAACTATCAAATGGGTTAATTCTTACCGTCCATTTTGCAGGCCTTTTAAAAAGTCGAAAGTTGTTTACGAGATTAGGAGCTGTGTTTGAACATATTTGTATAATTTTTCGAAAGTACCTTTTTTGATTAAAAGAGTTTTTAAAAAAAGTTTGCCTGAGATAAGCAAAAGTCAAACAAGAAGTCCTGTCAAATGAGTGTTTAGAATGAGTACAAGAGTGTTAGCAAAAGGAATAATAAGTGTACGTCCTTTGGTTGACATCTTTGTATACACTTTATTGAAGTTCAAAAGGTGTTCAACGAGAATTTTTTTTTAACTAATTATATGTCGTCACGTGACACAGCATAAAAAATAATGTGAAAAAAGATGTAGCATGATTGTAACAAAAGTAAGAGTATGCATGCCTGATGGATGAGCATCAAAATGACAGCCATGTCCCTAAAGGGGGATCTTGGAAGAAGAGAAAATGCATTGGAGTGATTGAGAAGAGCATCTCCAAATGCCCAGTATACTGCTGCTGCTGAAGGAAGCGTCAGTGTCAACACATAAAGGGTCGCCAATAAGTATATGGCTTTGAACGTCTGTGGCTTCCACATTGCGTGCATAATCTCACTGCCATCATCGATTACTTCAACATTAGTCGAGCATCAGATAGAATTAAACAGTACTACATAACAAGATTATGAAGCTGTCTGGTGCGGCTTCATTTTCAATTAACAGCAGAAATGCTACCGTTGGAGTCCAGCAACGGTCACTTTTCTACAATTGCGGCTGAGCTGTCGTGTCTAACGGTCAAAAGTTAACAGGTGGAAAATCAATTGTGGAAGAAGGAAAATCCAAACCAGACAAGGCCTATAACGTCTTTTCTTCAAGAATTGGATGATCAAGGTGGAGCCCACTTCACTATTGTCTCATAAGGCAAAACATCAAAAGTGATTGGTGAAATAATTCATTCTTTCTATACTTCAAAAAGCACAAAAATGGGTTTCCAAGAAAGTGACCTTTTCTTCCCTTAGCACGCCTGGGGCTGGGAAGGGCATTATTGGGAGACTAAATATTTTGTAGACAAAGACTAGTCACCAGCCAATCGCATGGGTAGATCATGTCCAGATTATCTAGGTTAAGTCACTT